ACACACACACACACACACACACACACACACACACACACACACACACCAAAAAGAACCTGCAGATATTAACAGCTTTTTTTGTTTTCTGGTGAAACACGTCTACCCCTATGCAGAAAGAATGTCAGTGGGTAAATCAAAATCTAAGAGATTAATAGGCCAGGCCTGGTTTTCAAACAAGCAGTGCTGGTAATTGCATGGGTCCCTGGATACACTCAGTGGTCCAGGTCCTCAGTTTGTGTAAATGCTTCAATATTCACTGAAGTCCACTGCTGAGGATCTGAAGCAGAGAGTCGTGCCCTGGTGGCATTAGAAGAGGAAGCGTCACATGAGCAGATTTCACCTGCTACTAGTGGTTCTGGAGGACATGGCAACTCACTGCCCCATCCCACCCTTCCAAAATGGTCAAGCCAGCCCTTCTGTAGTAGCCTGGAAGAGCATTTCTATACTACTGCACCCTCAGCTAGACATTCATCCCACACTCAGTTTTGTCATTTCTTCTTTGCACATTTTTTTAAAAGTGTCTTAATACTAAAAACAGGATGAATAGATTCCCGGAGTAACTAAGCATCTCTGAACAGAGTATGAAGGAGAGTAATAGAGCCCCAATGCTTACAGGCAAATACAACTTTCACAGAACACAAAACAGCTCTTGTACACAGAGCTCAAAACAATACAAGAGGGAATTTTTGATCTTCCTCAACTGTCAGTTTAAAACAATCCATCATCCTTTATTAAAACTGTCAGGAGGGGGATGAGTTAGCTCGAGGGACTCATGCTCTATGTGTAAATTGTGATGAGAACATGTTTATTGCTGTGCTACTTGCAGATGATACTGTACTTCCTGTTTTCCAAACGATTAGAGGTAATTATATAAAAGTCAAAATGTAATATGGGAATGAACTTGCATTGAACTTTGCACCTGCTGTGTAACCAAAGTGTGTGTTTGTGTGTGTATGTGGAGGGGGGGTTGCAGGAGTAGCGTGTGGGAGGGTTGAGCTTCATAGCCTCCTATCAAATTCAAGACCAGATTCTACACTATGGATTAAACTACTCCAAAAACAGTATAGTGCAAAAAGAAAAGTGTTGGAGAGTTAATGTCTCTTTGAGGAAATCTATGCTCAAAACCACAAAAATATTCTGCACACAAAAGTAACTTAGCAAGCTCTCTTCCCAGATGTGTACAATGCTGCTCCTTTTCCCATGGGATTTTAAAAGGGAAAATTTGAAAGAAAAAAATACTTTCTAATGCTGTAATTTTATCCTTCAGTGAATTTAGGGAAGGCAGAAAGTTGCTAGATTGACAAATCTGGAGAAATGAATCCAGGGTAGAGGCAATGGACGCTTCCCATATACATACACTGTCTTCTGTCAATGTGTCCCGACCGTGACTAGAAGCATCCACCTCTTGGAGAAAGGAGTTCAGTCTCCATTGACCATTAAATACTCAGCCTCTTTGCTGAGACTGCCAACAAGGGCAGTTCCTGCCAATTGTGAGAGAGGCAGAATTGACACCTGTCTACTGGGAACTGGACCAAGACATATCATCTCATTGCACATAAGCCAGCAAACAGATTTTCACTGGGTGATGTCTTTCACTCAGTGGGCTGGATATGAACCAGCGAATTAGCTCTGTATTCCATTCCTACACTCTTGAGCATCATTGTCTTAATTAGGCCAAAGTTAACCATCCTGCTCCCTCTCCTATCATGTGTATCACACTGTATGGGTAAAGCACCCAATGGGTGCTCTGCAAATGCCCACTGAGCAAGGCCTTCTCCTGACACCCTGCAACTGTGGCTGCAGAAAGAGCTGGTTTCACAAGTAGATATACCTGGCAATGCTCTTGTGACTAGTGCTAACAAAAAATAATAATAAAAATTTCCATTCCGCTGATTCACAATAAAGACTTGAAATATCAAAAATGTTTATGGAATGGAAAGTTCTCAAAGATTTGGATAAAAAAGTGTAGACACATTGCATTTCAGCTTGGTTCAACATTACTCTGTGTTCTTCTGAGCTGCCACAGTGCCTCATGGGAGTTGTAGTTCAAGTGGCTCCTGCTCCCATTCTCCTCTATGGGCTGGGTTCCCTGGCCAGACTACATGTCCCATATTTTTTTGGATGGTTTTCTTTCTGGTTAAACTGTTGTGCTTCATCATGGAAGATGTGGTCTGCCTAGAGAGCCCAGCCCAGTGAGGAGACGAAGGGCAGTGGGCATGAGGCACTGCAGCAGTTCAGGAGAACAGAGACTAATGGTGACCCAACCCCAAATATTTTGTTTCGGTTTTTCCTGACTGAAAACTGAAAAAGTTCAGTAAAATCAAAAATTTGCCACAAACAGTTTTGATTTTGTGGAAACTTCATTTTACACACACACACACACACACACACACACACACACACACACACACACACACACACACACACACACACACACACACACA